TTCCTAGACCCTGATTTTCTGGGTTTTGAGACTAGTTGTCCAGGCTGAACTTGAACTTACTATGTAGCCCATGCTGGCCTTGAATTTGCAGTGCTCCTCATGCCTCAGCCTCCTGAGTGCTGAGCTGACAGGCATGTAGCACCACACTTGGACCAATATATATTTTGAATCTTGGCTCTAGTATCTGGTTTCTTCTCTGCAGAATGTAGGTGGAAGGAATAGCAGATCACACAGTTTCAGGAAAGGTATACGGGTTAGGGATACCCCGAATGCCTGGAGGTTATGTGGAATTGCACCTGGGTGTCTCACATGGGAGGAACAGCATGAACAAAAGCATAGCAGTGGCATTTAAAAAAAGCATTTGGAAGCTGGATGTGGTGGTGCACTCCTGTAATCCCAATACTTGTGAGACTGAGGCAGGAGGATTGCTGCAAGAATGAGACCAGCCTGGGCTACACAGTGAGCTCAAGGCCAGCCTGAACTGCGTAGTGAGACCCTGTCTCAAAAGCCAAAAAAAAAAAAAGCATTTGGAAAAAAAATAAAGGAGCATTTGGGGGCTGGCAGATGAGAAGGGCTAGGATGTTCTGGCAGGCAGAGATGCTGGTGCAAGGTGTGCAGCACCTTCAGTCATGCATTTGCCAGAGGGGTCAGATCTTTGAAGACTGTGAAACCTTTTCTCTCTTGGAATCCCACCCACTGTCTTTTTTAGCATTGTATTCTGGCCAAAATAAATCCATCTCTTCTAGCAAAAAAAAGAAAGAAGACAAACCAAGTTTCAGAGATATGAGAGAAAGTGCTATTTCTTGAGTTTCCTATATGCTAGACACTGTGCTTTATGTTTCCTTTGTGTGAACAACCTCACTGGCCAAGCAGAGGGAGTGGCTGGCCCAAGGAGGACTATGGGACTGGCCCGAGGGGAGGATGGGCTACGGGGCCTCTGACAGGCTCATGTGCAAACTGCCCATTGGTGCAGGATCTGTCAGCCAGCTCACCAGCAGGCTGGGGTGGCTCCCACTGCTGTTCTTGCTGGGACAGGCAGGGCCATTGTCCTCTGCCAGGGCAGGGCAAGGCTGGGAAACCTAGGAGAAGGCTGTTTGCTGAGGGGGTGGAAGCTGGGGAGAAACAGCTGCAACAGCTTCGAAGCACCTCTGGCACCACCTCTGGCTCCTCTGCAGGGCACTTGCTCTGGACAGGCTCTGCCTATTGCCAGGCCTGTGGAGAGGGTGTGTCTGGTACTCTCTATGTTCCTGATCCTCTAAGATGCCCTTCTGACTTTGCCTGCCATGACCATCTTTTTTTTTTTTTTTTTTTTTTTTTTTTTTTTTTTTTTGTCTTTTTGAGACAGGATCTCTATGTAGTTCAGGCTAGCCTTGAACTCACTTTGTAGCCCAGGCTGTTCTCGAACTCGCAACAACTCCCGAGCTGGGATTACAGGCATGAGCCACCATGCCCAGCTGCCATGACCATCTTTTTCCTGGACTCCTTTTCTTGAAGAAGAGGCCCAAGTACCCAGATAAAAAGCAAGTTTCCAAGTATCTCCCGGTGACAGGCATGGTGCTGTGGGTTTCATTCTTTGTGTGCTCCTGTGTGGTCCAGCACTTTGCGAATGAGGAAACCAAGGCTCTACAGGGGTAATGACTTACCTAAGGTGGCACTGTTGATAGGAAATGCAGTCGGGATTTGGACTGCACTTCTGATGGCAAAAGTCACCCATTTTCTCCTCATCACTCTTTGGGTCTTCTTCCATCCTTGGCCCAGAGTGAATGTAGGGAGCCACTGGTGGAGACTTGAGGAGACTTATGTGGGCTCTACCTCCTCAGTGACAAAGGCAGGTCAGGGTATCTGGATGAGGTTGGGGGGCTTCACACCCTTGTGATGAAGAGGAGAATTCTGAGAGGCACTGAGGGCATCAGAGAGCGTGAGCCAAGTTACAGTGAATAACAGATGTGGGCATTGCACTCTGTGCTCCCCAGTCCCCCGCACTGGCTTCGGAGGGTTTGCCCTGAAGACCTGGCCAGTGCTACCCAGGGAAAGGAGGACCCGAAGAGGCTGCCAAGGGAGGGAGGCTGTGTCTGTGGGAGGGGGGGTGGCAGGCCGGGAGGGCCCCCTTGCTGGTGGGCAGGGCACAGCCTGCAGTGTACAGCCTTGGGAGCTTTGGTGAGCCCCAGGCTGGGCAGGCCTGAGGCAGTGTGTGGCCGCTGCTGGACTGGGGTCAGTAACAGGTCCGGGCCCTGTGTGGAAGGCGCCCACTTGGACATGGAAATGTGGCAGATTGGGTGAGAGGAACCAGGGCTCTTTGGGAGTCTCCTTCAGGGCCATAGGCTGCCATGCAGATGACATCAGTTGGCCCCGTTGAACCCCAATGCAGCTGTGGCAAGAGTGCACCCCTCTGGCTACTCTAGGGGAGAACCCTGTCTCCCCCTTTATGCTTCTGGCGCTTGCCGGTCTTCCTTGGTTTATAGCTGCATCAGTTCGATTCTGGCCTTCATCTGCACATAGCCCTCTTCCTGTGTCCGCATTCCCTTCTACTCACAAGGGCCCCATCCTGAGGCCTACCCCGGCTCAGTGTGACTCAGTGACCGTATGGTGACTTGGCAGCTGCACAGACACAGTGTCCAAAAATGGTTCCGTGCATGGGTTTGGGAGTTAGGACTTCAGCATATCTTCTGGGGCCCTAATCCAGCTCACAGTAGGGAGTCTGAGAGAAGGAAACCTCCATAGTTTGTGTGCAGGAATCTGTCAGGTACAAAGGGGAAACATTTTGAGAAAAAGAACAGTGTTTTTTTTTTTTTTTCTTCTGTTTTTTTCCTTTTTATCGGTACCAGGTATCGAACTCACAACTGCCTGCTTGCAAGGCAGGCGCTCATGCCACTGAGCTAAATCCCCAGCCCCCAAGAATAGTGGTTTTGAGACTAGAGAGAGATGGAGAATCTTGATGCCTCCTTTCTTAACGTGTGCTTGTGGGCCAGGGTCATCAGCATCACCTGGGCATTTATTAGAAAAGCAGAACCTCGGGTCCTTCCTCGGACTGCCTGGGTCAGAACAGAGCAGAGTCCCCAGGTGACTTACAATGAGAAGTGCCGCTTGAGTAAAAATCCAACTTGTATTTCCTTTCCCACTCCTGGTCAGCTTAGTTAGCAGTCTGTGCACAAGACATTTGTGCTTTGGTCCCTGTCTTTGTCTCTGTCTGTCTGTCTCTGTCTGTCCCTCCTTCTCCCTCCCACTTCCACTCACAGGCCAGCACTTCACCTCTAAGCTGCACCACTGGACCTTGCTGTCCCTTTCTGCCTTGTATATGCTGAGCCTCTGTCCTCTTTCCTGGCATGGGCCCTGTCTGGATAGTATGGGGCTTGCTGAGAGCCTCTTTGCTGTGATTCTGGGCTGTGTCCAGCTTTTGCTGCTTATAAATGCTACTTCTGTGAACACATCTGCATAGGCTTCTTTGGGGTTAGTTCCTTGAGGTTGAGTTTCTAGAATCAACATGCGTGGGCAGTTGTGGGCTCTCTTCACTTCTTATCCCTCTTGTCATGGAGCAGACATTGCTGGGTTCTGTCCTCCCCAGCAGTGCTTTTTGGGAACCCGATTTGGGAGGTTAAGTGGGAGGAAATGCTTTGGGGTTCAGACAGGCCTGGTTTCAGATCTGATGTTTGCTGTGTGACATTGGCTAATTACTCTGTATCTCATTATCTCCGAACTTGGGGTTATTGTCCTATAAAATCAAAATAGTGCTATAAACTATGTAGGATTTTTTGTTTGTTTTGAAACAGAATCTGCTACATAGTCCAGGTTGGTTTTAAACCGGTGATTTAGCCCAAGATGGCCTTGAACTTGCAATCTCCTTGCCACAGTCTCCTGAGTGCAGAGATTATAACCATGAATGCCTCTGTAGAGATTTTGTAAAGCCAATAGTGATACCACTAATAGCCATTATTGAGCACTTACAGTGAGCTACCTCACTGAATCCTTTTTTAAATTTTTTTTTTTTTTTTAAAATTTTTTTTTTGTCTTTTTCCTTTTTATCGGTACCAGGGATCGAACTCACGACTGCCTGCTTACAAGGCAGGCACTTATGCCGCTGAGCTAAATCCCCAGCCCCTAAATTTTTAATCTTATTAGTACATGTTCACAGGCCATGCATTTCACAGTTGTGTTGGGGATTTGGTGCACATAATACAGCTTTTTTTTTTTTTTTTTTTTTTTTGGTCTTTTTGAGACAGGGTCTCGCTGTGCAGTTCAGGCTGGCCTTGAGCTCACTTTGTAGCCTAGGCTGGTCTCGAACTTGCAATGATCCTCCTGCCTCAGCCTCCCGAGTGCTGGGATTACAGGTGTGAGCCACCACGCCAGGCAATACAGCTTATTTTTAAATTCCCTTCCTCCCTCTTTCACCATCCTCCCTTGTACTCTCCTCCTCTGATTGAATCCTTTTTGTTGTTAATTTATTTATATTTTTTGGGGTATGGGAGATCAAACTCTAGTTGAATCCTTTCTTAAAGTATTCACTTATTTTATTGGTGCATGTTTAGTGATTATACTTGTTCTGGGGAGTTGGTACATGTACATGACATTACTTAATTTTTTTTTTTTTTTTTTGGTACCAGGGATTGAACCCATGACCTTGTGCTTTCCAGGAGGTGCTTATGCTACTGAGCTAAATCTCTGGCCTGCTTAATTTTTAACCCCTCCCCATTTAATCCTTATGTTCTTTTGCTGAGTAGCATAATCTTCCCCTTTTGCCTTTTACAGAAAAAAAAAAATGAGCTTGGGTTAATTTTCTTGCTCTTACGTTATTTGTGCGCTACGTACCCAGGCCAAGACCCTCACGCCAGCCTGTGAGATGTGCAGTGTGCGCCCCAGGGTCCTGAGCATCGGCCCGGCACGTGGCCGCAGTGCCTGCCCGGCTCCCACTGCCCGCGCCGACTCCCTGCGATTCCTCCCTGACCTTGGGTCTTCCTTGGCGTTTTTTTTCTGGACTTCATTGATGGTTTCTCACTCTGTTTTAGGTGCAGACTCTCCCCGTGGGAACGAGTGCTGAAAGGATTCAGACCACTGGGGTTGGGAGACCAGCTCCTGCTTCCCCAGGGCTGAGGATGGCGAGGCCGCCTGTCATCTCCAGCCCTCCTCGGTGCTCCTGGGGCTGAGGAGGGCTGGTTGCCATGAGGCTGGGCCAGCCCCAGGCCTGGCTGCGGGGCCTGTCCACCGCTGTGGTCTATGGCTCCCTGGCCCTCTTCACCTCTGTCCTGCACAATGTGTTCCTCCTTTACTATGTGGACACCTTTGTCTCGGTGTATAAGATCAACAAAACAGCCTTCTGGGTTGGAGAGGTAGACGGAGGGTACCGGCAAGAGGCCAGTGCCAAGTCCCCGGTCAGGGGTGGCGGCAGGCTGGGTTGTCACCATGACTTAGCAGGTGGGCGGTGGAGGCCTGTGACTCCCGCATGGGGACGCTGGACCAGCCCTTCTGGCTATGGTTACTCCCTGTTCTGTACATTCATGTGTAATGTAATGGGGTGTCCAGGCTCACCCCAGCTGGGCCTTGGCTGGGGGGTCTGGGGGTGCAGTGGCTGGAAGAAGGGGGGGGCTTCTGATATGGGTGGGGTTCCCCTCATCTTTGAGGGGAGGTGAGCAGGCTTGCTGCCCTGTCTCCCTCTGCCCATAGACAGTGTTTCTCCTCTGGAACAGCCTCAACGATCCTCTCTTCGGTTGGCTCAGCGACCACCGGTTCCTCAGCTCTCAGCCTCGGTACCTGTGCCTTGCAGATGATTTGTAACTGCTCAGTGGAGCTGGAGGAGGGCAGCTGTGCTTGGGATCGGGGGAGACTGGGAGGCCGATGGGGTTGTTAGGTGTGAATCCCTCCCTTCCAGGCTGGGCCAATTTCCTTACCCTCCCTGGTCGGACCCACCGCTGTCCCCCACCTGAGTGGTGACCTTCATTGTTCTGGGCTGGCTGGCTGGTGTGTGAGGGGGAGGCAGAGGAGCAGGTTCAACCACTGCTAGGCTGTGGCCTAGGCTGGAGCCTCAGGTGTACCCTGGAGTGATCCTGCACTCCAGGACTGTATCCCTTGTCTGGGACCTGACAGTGGAACGGGGCTGCCCAGGCCAAAGGTGCCTCTCCCAGTACCTCCTCTCTCTCCGGCAGGTCAGGCGCTGGGTTCTCCTCACGGGCTGTGGTGCTGGCCCGGGTGCAGGCGCTGGGCCGGCATGGGCCGCTGCTGGCACTCTCATTCCTGGCATTCTGGGTGCCCTGGGCCCCCGCTGGCCTGCAGTTCCTGCTGTGCCTGTGCCTCTATGACGGCTTCCTGACGCTCGTGGACCTGCAGCATCACGCTTTGCTGGCTGACCTGGCCCTCTCAGCCCACGACCGCACCCACCTCAACTTCTACTGCTCCCTCTTCAGTGCTGCTGGCTCCCTGTCTGTCTTTGCCTCCTATGCGTTTTGGAACAAGGAGGATTTCTCTTTCTTCCGCACCTTCTGTGTGGCACTGGCTGTTGGCTCTGCGCTGGGCTTTCTGGGGGCCACACAACTGCTGAGGCAGCGGGTTGAGGAAGCCAGAAGGGACACAGGGTGCTCAGCCCTGGCCGGGGATGGCGGGTGAGTAGCCAGTTCTGCCTCTCGAGGTTCTGAGTCTGACTTTGGTGCCAGGTCCTCTGGCAGGTGGGTGGTCACCTTCTGGTAGGGGCTGCCTCTGGACCTGGTGACCCACGAGTGGCAGTGAAACACCTGCAAGCCACAGGGCAGTGAGGAGGGACCCAAGCAGGACAGAGCAGGACACAGCTGCCCTATGGCCCAGCAGTGTTCAACTCTCCTGTGCTCCCTAATCTATGCAGAGAGGAGCTGCTATTTGGTGGTGAAGAAGCAGGCAGTGTCACCTTGGGCCAGTACCTCCGGCAGCTGGTACGCCACCAAAACTTCCTGTGGTTCGTGGGCATGGATCTGGTGCAGGTATGGGGCGCCCTCTTGCCCACACCGGACTGTGCCTCATTCCAGGGAAATGGCCTCAGGAGCTGGAACTCAGGAGGCCTACCCGGGGATAGGTTGGGGCCTTAGCAGAGTTGAGCTCCCGTACCTTCTGGTATCCTCACTCTCTATGTGGTCTTAGGCAGGTCTTAGCCTCCTGGACAGCCCTGTTATCACCTGTAAAGGGAAGACTGAAAGAAAGATACCCACCCCCAAGAGCCTCCATGACCATCCTTTTAAAACACAGGTGCCACCCTAAACTGCGTGGTATGGAAGCTAGTCAAATTTAGAATTAAATTGTTTTCATGTCATAAACTTTGTATTACTAGCCAGGCATAGTGGCTCCTGTCTGTAATCCCAGCATTCAGGAGGCTGTGGTAGGATTGTTGCTGAGGCTTTGAGGCTACATAGTGAGTTCAAGGCCACCCTGGACTATAAAATGAGGCTGTGTTTCAAAAAATGAATTACTAAGATGTTTTCAATTAAAGTGAAAAATTTAGCTGGGTATGGTGGCTCACACTTGTAAATCCCAGTACTTGAGAAACAGGCAGAAGGATTGCTGTAAGTTTGAGGCAGCCTGGGCTGGGCTATATAAAGTTTAAGGCCAGTGAGACCCTGCCTTAAAAAAAGAAAAAAAAAAAAAAAGAAAGAAAAAGGAAAAGAGGGGAAAAAAGAAGAAAAAACCTGTCCAGTTACTGTTTTACCAGGTCTTCTAAGTCTTAGTGGAAGAAGAGAAGCAGCAGGAACGTGGTTTTAGGTTTTGTCTGGCCTGCTCCATGTTCAGGGACATGGGAACAGAGGACACAGACCCTCCGTAGGCTCCACCCCACTTGGGTCCCTGCTCACTGCTCTGTGGCTTGCAGGTGTTTCACTGCCACTTCAATAGCAACTTCTTCCCCCTCTTCCTGGAGCACCTGCTGTCGGACCACATCTCTTTGTCCACTGGCTCCTTCCTGTTGGGTGAGTTGGTGCCCCAGGCAGCCGCAGGGGCACCTGTGCCTGAACCCCTGGTCCAGCTGATGGCAGGGCCGCCTCCCTGGTGGAGCCTGAGTGGCAGAGCCCTGGCCTGCGCTGTTGCCTGTTGCTGTGTTTATTTTGGATGTGGGGTGGGAATTGTCCTCATGCTGGTCCCCTTGGCCGTGCTGCCACTCAAAGGCGCAGGTGCAGGTGGCTGTGAACTGTGAAGCCCGAGTCTGCAGGGCTGTGTGAGCTGTGAGTCTCTGGGCCTTTTTTGTATGTAGAGTGATAGTGCCTCTGTGTCCATCGAGTCCGCCAACCATGGACAGAAAATCTTTTGGGGAAAGTACTCCCTCTGCACTGAGCATGTGTGGTTTTTGCTTCTTGTGATTATCCCCTTGTTAACAGTGCAATACAGTGGCTGTTTACGTAGCTGGTATTTATGTGGCATTAGGTTATATAAGTAATGGAGATGATTTAGAGTGTGGGGGAAGAGTATAGGTTGTTATGGAAATTTTATCTTCAGATTTTGCCATCTCAGGGGGGTGCCGGATCCAAGTCCTCCTGTATTTATCTTCAGGGCTTGTGAAGATTAAACAAAAATGTGCAGTGCAGCACAGACCCAGAGGTCTGTTTACTCAAACAGTAGCTTGGATTGTTTTGGGTTCTTTTTTTGAGACAGCATCTTGCTATGTAATTCAGGCTGGGCTTAAACTCATGGCAACCCTCCTGCCTCAGCCCCCTGAGTCCTGGTATTATAGGTGTTTACTACCACACTTGGCTTGGAGCTTTAAATTGGAAGGCAGGTAATACTGCAGCTGTCCTTGGTAAGATGGCACCTCTTCCTTCCCAGGCATCTCCTATGTTGCTCCTCATCTGAACAACCTCTACTTCCTGCCCTTGTGCCGGCGCTGGGGCGTCTATGCTGTGGTGCGGGGGCTCTTCTTGCTGAAGCTGGGTCTTAGCCTGCTCATGCTGCTAGCTGGCCCGGATCACCCAGGCCTGCTTTGCTTCTTCATTGCCAGGTATGGCACTGGCCAGCCCTGCCTGCACCCCTGTCCTGGCCCTTACTCTTTTTGTTATTGATTTTAAACATTTTTATTAGTTCATGTTTGCAGTACACCATGATTGCATATGGTGGGAAGTTGGTCCCACACATAACACAGCTTACCTGTTTTCTCTCCTCTCGCCCCATGTCTCTGGTGCTCTCCACTGGCAGTAACCGTGTCTTCACGGAGGGCACCTGTAAGCTGCTGACACTGGTGGTCACGGACCTGGTAGATGAGGACCTGGTGCTGAATCACCGCAAACAGGCAGCCTCAGCGCTCCTCTTTGGCATGGTTGCCTTGGTGACCAAGCCAGGCCAGACCTTTGCCCCGCTGCTGGGCACCTGGCTTCTCTGCTTCTACACAGGTGAAGGCCTGGGGACAGACCAGAAGCTCTTGAGGCTCTGGGCAAAGCTTCCCAGGGATGCCAGCTGTAAGCCCTGGCATGGGGTCCAGGAAGGGAGAGAGAACGGCCTTGGCACCTGATACCGACCCTGAGCCTCCCGGGTATGGGGGAGGAACCAGGTCTCAAACCCCTGTTCCTGCATTAGTTCATTCACGCACTCAGCAGAGCGGTGCAGAATGCCACCCTCTGCTATCGGGGAGCCTCTGCTTTCGTCAGGCAGAGGGTGGGTGGCAATGAGCAGTGAACTGAGGACTTACCAGGCAGTGGTGATTGCAGTGGAGAGGCAAGGGTTGGGCCCCAAAATGTCACCAGGGAATCCCAGGCACAGGGGATGGAATGTGCTAAGGCTCCAGACGCTGTGGTTTGCAGTGAGGCTGGACAGGCAAAGCTACTCTGCAGACCAGGGCAGGGTTGGGGTCACCTCCACTGCAGAAGGGCAAGGTTAGGAGAGGCAGAAGCAGGGGCATGGTGTGGTCTGGTGGACGCTTTGAGGAGCTGACTCTGGCCACCCCAGAGAAGCCCCAGGGAGCGGCAGCAGAGGTGATGGGGCCTGTGGGATGCCTCTTGGAGCTGGAGACAAATGGGGGTGTTGGAGTTAAACAGACTAACTGAGGCAGACTGGGAGGTCTCTGGTCTGAGTTTCTGAGGTGGCATTCACCAGAACGGAAGGCTGGGGAAGTGGGCTTGGGGTAGGCGTGGAGAGCCGTGGCCTAGGATGTGGACCCGTGACCTGTGCCGCACCTCCAGTGCACTCTGGAGGGAACCGGGCCAACTGTGTTTTCCTGCTCTCTTGTCCTAGGTCATGACCTCTTCCAGCAGCCTCCAGTGATCTCTGTGGGCAGCACCCAGCCTTGGCCAGAGCCGCCAGCTCCTGCCCCAGCGCAGGCCCCAACACTGCGCCAGGGCTGCTTCTACCTGCTGGTGCTGGTGCCCATCACCTGTGCGCTCCTTCAGCTCCTCACCTGGTCCCAGTTCACGCTGCATGGGCGGCGCCTGCACATGGTCAAGGCCCAGCGCCAGAGCCTGGCACAGGTCCAAACTCTGGACATTAAGACCGTGTGAGCAGCGTGGTGAGGCCACCCTGCTGGGGACACTGCCCAGCCCTTCTCTTGATGGTGGATGGGTGCTCCTGGAGCAGAGCTAGGAATATCACTGAGGCCTGCCTGGCTTCGATAGCCCAGGGTCGGGTGGTCTGTGCTCAGGGACTTACCCTTCCTGAGTGGCAGAACAAAATGGCCATCAACAGGGATGGGGCTGAGTGAGGCACCCATGAGGCTGCACCCTTTGGCTGGGTCCTAAAGCCTGTGCCACTGCATGTTGTGTTGGCCACTCTGGTGGCCTCAGGAGCCACTTCTGGTACTGCAACTGCTCCCTTTGCCTGGTCAGGGGCAGCTGTGTCACCCACTGTCTCCATCCTTCCAGCAGGCTCTCAGATGTCCCTTGCCCTTGCGCCTCTAAAAAGGCACTTTTCTTACAGAGTGATTAAAGCCAGTCGTTCCTAGCTCTCAGGTCTGTGCTGTGTGAGTAGTAGGCTAGTAAACAAGGTTCCTCACTGAGAGCTGGGTGTGGTGGCACAGCCTTCTAGCTCCAGCACTCAGAGGCTGAGGCAGGAAGACTGCTGCAAGTTGGAGGCCAGCCTGGACTACACATACTAACATGTCTCAGAAAAACAAACAGAAAGCATTCCTCTCTGAGCAGGAGTACCCTGCGAGCAGTTTTCTAGAGTGGTGGTCCCTGGTGTCAAAAACTGAAGTACCAGGATAGGAATGCAGGCTTCTGGGTGTGCAGGTGGCACTCAGGCCTGAAACCTACTGCACAGTGTGTTCCCCACACGGCTGCTAGACAGTCATTGAAGAGGACCCTTGTGAAGTCACAGGCTCCCAGGGCAGGACCCCCAGAGCACTTCCGGAGGAGTTGTTCCCCTAGATTCAAGCTTACTGAGTAGGGGGTGTAGCCTGAACACTGGAGTCTTGAAAACCAGCGTGCGTAGCCTAAGTGTCTCAGCCCAGCCCTAGAGCACTGTGGGCAGAGAACCCTGTGATGTTTAACAGTGTTTTGTGACATTGTCTCACTGTGTAGCCCAGGGTGGCCTTGATCCTGCAGTGATCCTCCTACCCCACCTCCCCAAGTGCTGGAATTAAACGGATGCAGTACCAGGCCTGGCTCAACATCAGGGTTTCTTTTTGTACCGGGAATTTGACTTACTCGAGACCTCATGCTTGCGATTGGTGCTGTGCTGCCGAGCTGTATCCCCAGCCCACATCACAGTTTTGAGAGACTTAAAGGCAAGAGCAGCTCCTGTTGGGAGGGTCCCACTCATGGGTGTGAGTGTGTACAGGAGTCAGACCCTCCATTTATTTTCATGTTTTTAGATTTTGGTCTTTTTTAGACAGGGTCTCACTGTGCAGTGCAGGCTGGCCTTGAGCTCACTATGTAGCCCAGGCTGGTCTCAAACTCATAATAATCCTCCTGCCTCAGTCTCCCAAGTGCTGGGATTACAGGTGTGAGACACCATGCCCTGCTGGATCCATTTTTTAAAAAAACTTTTTATCGGTACCAGGGATCAAACATCCACCTGCTTGCAAGGCAGGTGCTTATGCCACTGAGCTAAATCCCCAGCCTCCTAGATCCATTTTTGAACCTGGGTTTTGGTGTTAATGCTGGGTTCTCTTTATTGGTCTGACAGCCTGACACTTGGGTCTGACCTGGAAGGTGGGACAATGCCTATCTAAGGCTGGGTTGACACCTCACATCCATTGGCTGCCATATCTCCCCTCCTGCCCTGTACTGGCCACAGACAGAGGCCGTTGATGCGTCTATTGGAACAACTTTATTTAAGTACACTGGGCCCCACCAGGCAACATGGTTTGCGCAAGGCTGTGCAAGGGACAGGCTTGAGCTAAGAGAGGGAGGTGAGCTTACACACACGCTACAGTCCATGGCTGCCATACTACTTTCACACACACCTGCTTCGGCTCACATCTGGCAGGGCCTTTGGTCATGGAATAGCATGGGGAAACAATACTACCTGGAATCTGGGACTCCTGGGACCTGGTGTCACAGGCAATGGTGTGCCAGTGAAGACAGGCTCGCCCAGCTTTGTACCATCTGGGCTGAAGGCCGCTGAACTTTCTGCGGCCAGGCCCAAGCCATCAGTTCCTGGCCCTTCCCAAACAGGACCAAAGTCACCAGAGGCACATGATCACCCCGAAGGCCTTCCTGCCTCTTTAGCCTAATCCCCCTGGTCAGGCAGAATGGCAAAAGGCAACTTGGTAAACTGCAGCTTTCTCCAGCCCAAAGGGACTGTATCTCCAATACCTTCCCTTGCAAGGGGCTCTGCTGAGAGTGCTTCTACTCCTGTTTCAGAAAATTCAGCCAGCAACCAGCCTGTTGGTTCCAGGGCAGTGAGCAAGTGGAGGAGGGAGAAAGAAAGGCTGAGTGTAACCCCAGGCCCCAAGTGTGCTGAGGCAGTGCTATGTACGTCCTCATACACGTCAGCAGGGGGTGGTGGGGCTGGATGCTGCACTGTAAACATTAGTATGATGTGGGAGGCAGGGAGCCCCAGGTGCTCTGTCCCCTTATTGACCAATACTTTAATAAATAAGCCTGTTAGGATGGCAATGAAACAAGGATAGATGAGAAGTGAGGAACAGGATCTGGAACGGACTGGCTCCTTAGCTCTAGTAAGATCCCAGGACGGGGGAGGCTTGAAGTGTAACTCTGCAGCCCCTGCCCTCCCCAAAGGCCCAGTGAGGTTCCGGGCCCAAGGGAATGTGAGGACACTGCTACCTCCCAACCCATCTCTAATCGAGCTAGAGTGGTTTTACAGCCTTTTACAACCGGAAGACAACCAGACCAGGCAGAACTTACTCCCAGCCCCAGTCCACAGCCCACCATCCACAGGCAAGGAAGCAGGTGGTGCCAAGGACAGGCAGCAGCTCAGGCCTCAGGGTACCCTTGGGTAAGGTAGGGTGGCAGCCAACCAGCATGAGCAGTGGCAAGTCTCCCTGTGATGGCAACTGCACCCCACAGCCAGAAGAGGGCCCCGCTGAGGAAGGAGTGGGCCTCTGCCAGCCCTCTTCCCTGCCAGGGCCCATTAGTTAGTGGTCAGGGCCAGGCCTCAGCTGTCGCCATCACGGGTAGTCATCATCCTTGCTGGGCCCGAGACCCCTGGGCTGCATGGCACTCATATCTGTGCACACATTCGCACCACCCCCCCAACAGGCAGTTCCTTGAAATCACTCCGACTCAAGAAAGCGAGTTTAAAGTGGAGTTAACTTCAGAGAGTAGTAAAGACGACATCTCAACATTAGAAGGTTTTCCTGTGGATGGATCGGGCACCATCTTCCTCGTATTCCTTCTTGGAGACCCACATCTTCTTAAAGGTGTCCAGCGAGGCAAGGATAGAACCACTGGGGTGGAGGACCCAAAGGAGCAGTGTGAGAGGGTGACTCCTAGAGCCAGTCAGTCCCTGGGCCACACCTGATGGGGCCTTTCCTTAAAGGGATGGGGATGGAGGGGATCAGCGCCCGCAGTCCCATCCCCACGGAGCTACTCACCCGATCCACGTGGAATACAGTCTCTCCTGTGGTGCAGATATCTGCAGAGGCCAATGGGAAGAAGACTCTGAACCCCCTCTTCTTCTGTGTCGCCCGCCCCGAGGGCAGTGGGTGCATCCCACACACCTAGCTCCACTCCCTGGACCCCTGGCCCCTCTGGAGGCACCCTGGGGACACACACTATGCAAGAACTCATGCCTTAACCGAGGGTCTCTCCTGCCTACAGGCAGCCAGAGGCCTCTGCCTTGGGAGCCACTCAGATGCGGGACTGGTTACAGGCAAGGGTATGGCAGCAGCAAAGTTCATTTCTGGTCACCCAGTGTCCCACAGATATCCTGCTGCATCTGGGTCTGGAAACTGCCTGCCTTCTGACTGAGATGGAGGGTCTCCCCCAGCTGCCCAACCTTGGTGCTCCAGGCTACAGAGCCAGCTGCCCAAGGAGCACGGATAGGGCTAACAGGAACCCAGCCCCCAGCCAGCCCCACTGTGTTCCTACCCTGATCTTCACATCTTTGGGAGCCAGTTTCTTCACTTCACTCAGGAGCCTGTCACCAAAACCTAAATGTGCAGGAGAGATTCTCAAGTCAATTCTTGGGGCGCCTGGGCCAAGCTGGCCTGGGATTCCTTCTGGGAAAGGGCTTCAAGTAGAAAGACCAACCTTTGAACAGGGTGGAACCCCCTGAGAGGACGATGTTGGAGAAAAGTGTGCGCCGCAAGTCCATGTCGGACTTCTGGATGGCGAACACCAGGACCTCATGGATACCCTCGCTCTCCTCGCCAATCAAGTCTGGCCTGAAAAGCAGCTCTGGGGCCCGGAATCGAGAAGGACCAATCTGCAGAGTGAAGGGCCAGCTTAACAGGCGCTGTGAGTGTCAACGGAAGCAGCTTCCCTGCTTACCTGATAGCAAGCAGATGGCTATGAAGACCAGACTCAAGATAGACCCTATGTGTCATGGGCCAGAAGGAACAAAGACAGGACTTTTGGAAACAAGGGAAAGGAACAAACAGCATTCCCGGAAACTAGGTCTTTGGCATTATTATGTGGATTCCTTCATTCACAGACATTTCTTCATATCAGTGAGACTCCGGGGAGTGGGACTCACCTTACACTGTGCCTGGGAGGAGTTAAAGACAGTGTGGACAATTCCAATTCCTAACACATCCTCACCTGGGACATCCCCCAGCGCCTCATGTGCTGCTGCGGAACACTTTCGCAGGCCCTCATGGGAGTCCCGCCTGGGCCCAGGGCTTTGACAGCTCTGAGGGGAAAGGAGCAGTACAGCCCCTACCTCAATGGTGCTGCCGTCGGGCAGGTAGTACTGGGCCTTCTCTGTCTCCAGCGTCTCGTCTTTCTGGGGGTTTATGGACAAGTAGCAAGCTCTCTGTAGAACCAAGAACCCAGTCAGCACCCAGGCCCCAGGAAGAGTGTGCTGCTGCAAAAGTCTGCCCATCATAGTGACTGCACTGAAGTCACCAGAGCCGCTGCCTAGAAGTGGGAGCAGGGAGGTCTCTGTTGGCCTGCACTAGGTGGCACTTGGGACATGAGTGTTTAGCTGTCCCACCTTCCCAAGGGGCAAGTATGGAACTCACCTCTCTGCTCCTGGGCCTGAGACCACAGGCTGATTCCAGCCTAGGCCAAGACATCTTTCTTCTCCTTCCTCCATTCCTAGGCCCAGCCCAGAGGTCTCCCTACAGCCAGAGCTAGCAGGACAGTTCTGTTTACTTTTTTTTTTTTTGTCTATTTCCTTTTTATTGGTACCGGGGATCGAACTCACGACTGCCTGTTTGCAAGGCAGGTGCTTATGCCACTGAGCTAAATCCCCAGCCCCCACAGTTCTGTTTACTTAGGAAAAGACATTCTGACTTCCCCAAGGCAGGGAAGGAACTTGTGTTGTCTGCACCAGGGTCCCAGTGCCCAGCTCAGGGAGTGGAAGCAGCTGCTCTTCCTTAAAATGGCAGCATTTGTGGTGAGAGTCAGTGGTGGGCTAGAAAGCCTGGCGGGGGAGAAGAGCCTAACCCAGAATCCCAGCGGGGAGCTATACCCCTCTTCACTCACAGGTCCCCATCCCTAGCACTCACTTCTTTTATGGCCTTGACAATCTCGAATTCAGAGGATGAGTGGAAATCATAGCCCTCCTTGCGCAGGTAGAGGCGAAGGAAGCGAGAGACATCTCGGCCAGCGATGTCAATGCGCATGATGGAGTGAGGCATGGCAAAGCCTTCGTAAATGGGCACGGCATGAGTGACGCCGTCACCAGAATCCAGCACCACGCCTGTGGTCCTGCCTGTGGCATAACTGAGCAAAGGGGGACATCAGTGATCTTGCCTCCTCACTCTGGGAAGCAGCCCACTTTTCCCGAGGGCTCATTGCCCGACAAACTGAAGGCTGGGCTTGCCTTCCTGTAGGGCCTAGCACACACCGCATACCGTGGAAGCCCAGAGGTACGGGCTCCCTCAACCCTCAGCTCCCTGGCAAGCAACGTCCTGGTCTGAGGAGGCATCCTGGCCTCCAGAGACCCTGCCTGACAGGCAGTTTTAACTTTCCAGATAACAGGAAATACCTACAGGACCCAAGAAGACAAGGAAATGGGTAGAGGAAGATAAGGTTACTGTACTTTTCACTTCCATAAAGTTTTTCCCTCACATGCTTTCAGTTCTGCCTTTAGCTTTCTCTCATATACGTTTCTTTTTTTGGGGGGAGGGCGGGGTTTGAGACAGGGTCCAGGCTGGCCTCAGACTCAAGGCAGGCAGTCCTCCTGCCTCAGCCTCCCAATGGTTGGGATTATTATAACATCCAACCTTTATATATATATATATATGTATGTATATATATATATTTATCAGTACCAGGGATCGAACTCACGATTGCACACTTGCAAGGCAGGTACTTATGCCGCTGAGCTAAATCTCCAGCCCCTTTTTCATATATTTTTGATAGGAGAGCAAAACACCCATGTCTGATAAGCAGCAATGGGCACTCTGTACTAGTGGTGGGAGAACAGCAGGCAATGGTGTAGACTGCGGTGAAGTCAGCTTGCAAACTATTTGTTATGGCAGCTGCTAGCAGTGCCTGCTGGCTTTTGCCCTACAAGAATGTAGTAGGCTTAGTATTACCACATTTTCCCATTTTTCCAGTGAAGCCCAGAATTTGGATTTTAATACAAAAACTAACTTTTAAATGATGGCCAACAGATTTTTTTTTTTTTTTTTTGTCTTTTTCGTTTTTATCGGTACCAGGGATCGAACTCATGACTGCCTGCTTGCAAGGCAGGCGCTTATGCCGCTGAGCTAAATCCGCAGCCCCGGGCAACAGATTTTTACTGAAACTAAACTAACCCAGTGCACCATGTCTGTAGCAAACAGAGGCAGGGTGTGGAGTGAAGCAGAAATAACAGGGAATAGGAACAGGGACCGTGGTGGTGTCTGGGTTGCAGCTGGAGCTGAAGCAGCAGTCTGGCTGAGTGTGTGGCAACCAGCGGGGACTGCAAAAACGCTTGCGTATGTTCAGGGCCTTCCAGAAGCAAGTGGCCTGCAGAGCACTCAAATCTTCTGCGAGTCCCAGGGCTGGGACTCAGCCACATCTTTTTTTTTGTCTTTTTCCTTTTTATCGGTACCAGGGATTGAACTCATGACTGCCTGCTTGCAAGGCAGGCACTTATGCCACTGAGCTAAATCCCCAGCCCCCAGCCACATCTTTTTTAGTCCCAACTGAGAAACCTCAGTATCCAGTTCCCACAAAAGTCTTCCTCCCTCTGCCACCATCTTTAACCCTTGCCAGCAGGCTTGGGTGAGGCTTTGGCTACTCTGAAACCCAGGGGAGAGGCAGCCCCAGTCGTGCCAAAGGACTTTTTCTACCCGTGAGACCTAACCAGCCAGCCAGGCTGCTACTCACAGGCTAAGTACAGCTTGCATGGAGATGAAAAGAGCTGGCACATTGAAGGTCTCGAAGAAAACTTCGGCAGCTCGTTCTCGATTTTTCCGTGGGTTTAAGGGTGCCTCAGTCAAGAGCACAGGGTGCTGCAGAAAGGAACCCAGGGGACAATCAGGGGAAGCCAGATTTCCACCATCATCAGTAGTGGAGGAAAAGCAGAGTGAGACTCTGTGCCAGAGTCAAACATAAAAAGGTGTGGGGATATAACTCACTGTATCGGGACTGGGTTCAATCTCCAGCATTAAAAAAACATTTTATTTAGCTCTAAATTCTGAATTATAATAAAATGATAGCATAAAAATTTGTACTATAAGATGGAAAATTTTAACACTGAAATTTTTGTTGTTGTTGTTTTGAGAGAGTCTCACTATGGAGCTAAGGCCGACCCTGAACTCACATGGCAATCCTCCTGCCTCAGTTTCCTGATTGCTGGGATTACAGGTATATGCCACCATGCCTGGCATCTTGGTGTTCTTAATACACTGTGAGGATGTCCCAGGGCCATTGTGAGTTCTTGTGTGGTCTGATAATACTGTGAGTGAAACAGCCTGTTACGTGGGTCTCCTCATATGTGTCATGATCTACTTAGGTCATACTTGCATGTGTTAAGAAGTACTAGTAGGGGCATAGGATATAGCTCATTGGCACAGGTGTCTGCCTGGCAAGTGCAAGATCCTGAGTTCAATGCCTGCTACCAAAAAAAAAAAACCAAAACAAAACAAAACAAAAAAAACCCAAAAAGAAGTACTGATAAAAGTGTGCTCGTGTGTGTGTTGGAGTACATGTATCCAGCCATCAGGTAAGTGGCACAGTGTATCAAGCTGTTCCTGGCACTGATCTCTGACTTATCCTTCTACGTGTCAGTACACGTACATGCGCCCATGTGTGTGTATTGAGGTGTTCTGTGTGTCACATACATGGATATTATCTGAAAGGCATTTGGCCTGGTGCTTGGTACACTCTTGGCAGTTTCACTGCCATCCTCCTTATCTCTGGGGTAGGGGTCCACCTAGCACTGCCTACAATATGGGAATGCCTTGATGGGTGACCCTCACCTCCTCTGAGAAGGTCTGCAGCTGGTCCTTAGAATAGACGTACTGCCAGATGCGCTCCATGTCGTTCCAGTCCTTGACGATGCCATGCTCCATGGGATAGCGGATGGACAGCAGCCCTCGGTGCTCCTGAGGGCAGAGGCAGGATTGGCAGCAGTAGGTGAGGGACCCGCTTTTCCAGGCCTGAGCAATGCTGAGTCACTTGCACAGGTGCCTCAGCCTGCGGGTCCTCCCCACAATCTACCAGGCAAAGGCGGGCGTCCATTCTCCAGGCTTTAGGCCATGATGGACCCTTGCTGCCCAAGCTGCTGCAAAGCAGAGGCTTCTGCATTTCTATGGGCCCTCGGGACTCAGGATACAATCTCTTGGCCCACACCTCTGGCCTCAGCATTAAAGCAAAGTCGGCCACACAGATTCTATTGTTCTTACTAGAGGCTGCCTAGGGGTTCTGCCAAAAATGTGCAAATTAACTCATCCCCACAGTATGCCAGCCAGGATTGCCTTTGAATTCCTTTTGCCAAAATAAAACCAAGCCCATCAATTGAATCGTTGTCAAGGTAGTGACTAGCTACAAAAGAAAGGCAAAAGCCTTGTTTTCTACAGCAGTCTTTGCCTCCCCAAGTGGGGTTCTAACTATTCTTTAATACCAAAGGCTGCTCTGTGACAGGGATGAAGGAACTGAAAGGGAGATTTTAAGAGCAAGCTGTCATTCTGCTCACAGCTAATATGCAACTATTGGGATACTTTCATGTAGTGGATAGGGAAGGTCACTGCCTGCCTGATCCTTTTTCTGCAAGACTGGGAATTACCTCTGCTTTGGGGCCAATGAAGATGTCTCCTTCAAGGGCTCCTGCCATGACACGAACATGCTTGGGTCTGCCCACACTAGAGAGATGGCAGGGAGGAAAATCAGTTTCATTTCAGGACAGACACAGGAAGAATATACATACAGATGCATACACAGCCAAATTCTACTGTGCTCATCTCTGAGCTATGCTCAGCTCCTTATTTTCTATAATTTCTACATAGAACTTATTTATTTATTTAGAGACAGGGGCTCACTATGTAGTTCTGGTTGGCCTCATTATGTAGCTCAGGCTATCCTCAGACTTGCAGCAATCCTCCTGCATTGGGGTTACAGGCATGAGCTACCATACTCAGTATAGAACATACCTTATTTGGGGCTGGGGATTTAGCACCTGCCTTGCAAGCAAGCAGTCATGAATTCGATCCCCGGTAACGATTAAAAAAAAAAAAAAAAAAAAAAAAGAACATACCTTATTTATTTTATTTCATATTTATAAATTATTGAAACAATTTTTAGAGGATTCAAGTTTTCTTTTTCCCAGTGTCTATGCAGACTGAAAAGATAAGAAAACTTTTTTTTTTTGAGACAGGGTCTCACTATGTAGTCCACATAAACCTTGAGCTTGCTATGCAGCCCAGATGAATTTCAAACTCAGGATGCTCCTGCCTCAGCTTCCCAAGCGCTGGGATTACAGGTGTGCATATCATACCCAGCCACGAATTTTAAATAAATGATAAACTCCAACTTTTAAGGGGTTGAGATGTGTAGCTCAATGATAAAGCATTTGCCTAGCATGTGTAAGGCTCAGGCTTCTATCCCTAGCACCTGAAAGAAAGGAGAAACGAACACCAGAAACTTCTAAAACACCCACTGGATTTCTTGGTCTCTGCCAGAACATCTCCTAAGGCAGGCTGTGATGGTACTCAGACAGCCTTCTCCTTTTCCTCTTGCTTAAATGAAACAGGTCTCCATGCCATGTCCATACCCTAATGCAGTCTCTGCGTCAGTAGGAAAGCTCCAAGAAACTCATTTCACTAAGATGGGAATGAGTCTGCTGACAGACACGGTTTAATGTTAAACTCTGTCTTGCGTGATAGGAGAAGTTTAAAAACAGGGCTTCTAGCCAGGCTCAGTGGCATATGCCTGCAGTTCCAGTTACATGACAGGCTGGGGCAGGAGCACTGCTGGGGTCTAGAAGTTTGAGACCAGCCTGGGCAACATAGTAACTCTGTCCTAGAACATGAGACTAATTGGGTCCAGGATTTAGCTCAGCAGAACAATTGTCAGCCTGGAAAGCACGAGCTTGAGTTCCATCCCCGGTTCCAAAAAAAAAAAAGGGACAATAATAAACTGGGCACAGTGGTACACGCCTATCACCTGTAACTCAGCTACATGGAGGGCTGAAGAGGAGAATCCCAAGTTCGAGGCCAGCTTAGGCAACTTTTCTGGATGTTGTATCAAAATAATGTTTTTTGGTTTTTGGTTTTTGCTTTTTGTGACAGGCTTTTGCTATATAGTTCAGGCTAGTCTCTAACGCACAGTAATCTTCCTGCCTTCGCCTCCTCAGTGCTAGGGACAAGTATATACCACCATGCCAGGATCAAATGAGTTTGATCCCTCATACCAAAAAATTAAAAAAAATTTAAAAATTAAAAAGAAAGAAAGGAAGAAGAGATAGGGATGTAGCTTAGTGACAGAATATTTTTGGTTTCAATCCCCAGAACCAGTAAATAAGTAAGTAAGTAAGTAAATAAATAAATAAATAAATACATAAAAAGTGAATAAAAAATGAAAAAATTTGTGGCATCTGACAAAATCAGATTTTTAAAAACAAGCCCTCTTGGGGGCTGGGGATTTAGCTCAGTGGCATAAGTGTCTGCCTGGCAAGCGTGAGGTCATGAGTTCGATCTCCAGTACCACAAAAAAAAAAAAAAAAAAAAAAAAGGCCTCTTGCCTGCACCTTACAGATGCCACCAGGTAGCAGTTGTTACCTTTACTTATTCCAGACATGCCTCCTATCCCTTGCTTGTCACTGTTTGAAGCACCAAGGCTGACGTGAGTGAGAAATCTCCCTCAAAGAGGAGGCCTGGCCTCCTCACGTCCTGGCTAAGCTACAGAATGACTTACTAGTTTGGAAAGCAGTATTTCGGGATCTGATCACCAGCAAAACCAGCTTTAATCACACCGGATCCCTGGGGAGAGAGAGAGAGGAAGAAGTGAGAACTATCACTAAAGCCAGAGGAACTGCATATGATATGGGCATCTAATATGCAGGTGCAGGAGCCTCGGAAGGAGAGTATCCAGGGAGGGGTGTGGCACAGGGATAGTGATGAAGGCATCCACTACATGCTCACGAAGTTTGATTTCTCTGCAGACTTTTCTATACTGAACATGATTTTCCTTGAGAATTAAATAATAAAGGGAAGAAAAATAATAAGAAGAAAAACCTGGGAGCATCAAAAAAGCCAAGTTCAAGAACATACCTGGGGAGGGGAAAGCACAGGACCCTTCCTGTTGCACCAGCACAGCTTCCCTGCCTCCCTCCAGAACTGCTCCCTGCCCCAACCTGGTACTGCTACTGCCTGAAGCTGACTGCCCACCACACTGTCTGCTCTGTGGGGGCTGGTATGTATTGTCTGTTTGTCTTTTTTGGTTTTCTGAGATAGGGTTTTGCTGTATAATTCAGGCTGGCCTTAAGTGACCCGCCCGCTCAGCCTTCTTAGTGCTGGGATTAGAGGTGTGCACCACCATGCCTGGCTTATGGTTTTGTTTTTTACTATTTGCTCCAGGTTCCTGATGGTGGTGGAAGACCCACAGTTCCGCTGGCTCTAATACCTAGTATGCTGGGTGGGATGTCTAGAAAAGAATCTAAGCCTCCCAAGCAGCACTGACCTTCGAAGGCTCACCCAACATAAATATCAACTCCCTAGCAGATACCACCTGGTGAGGGACAGATGTCAAGGTCTGGGTTGCTTTCTTCTCAGCTCTTCTACCCTCACACCAGTAACCCTCACCCTTTACTCTAGCATAGTTTGTAGCTGCACGTGTAACTGTTCTTTTCTGCTGTCTGCTGACACATCTCTTGGGCAGAGTGTAACACTTCCAGATCCCACACAGCAAGTGGTAAACACATCCGGTGATGCCAGGTAGCCAAGGCGTCTCAGCGACATGCCCAGTTATTCCCTCTGCCCTCTGATCTCTGATCTTTTGCAGGCTGCAGAAGACTGACTATTCTGGCGCCTGCCTCTGTTACCATAAGAAATGGTGAAAAGACAGGCAAGCAGTATGGGAGAGAGCAGGGCCAGCCTAGTTCTCAAAAGGAGTAGGAACCTATAGCAAGGAGCCCAGAAAAGGTACAGCTGTAAACTGAGCTGAATGACTGGGGAGGAGGAGAAAGAACTCTTACTGCAAACCTGAGGGCAGAACAGCTCTGTACAAGAGAAGTTCAAAAACTTGTTAGCTCACATCTCCAGTGATTGCTCACTGCCTCCACTGTGGTGTGGTGATGCCAACAGATTAACTGAATCTCCAGACAGAGGGTGAGAACAAAAGAAGCACTTCAGATGTGAATATTTTTAAAAAAAAATTTTTTTTGGTCTTTTTCCTTTTTACCGGTACCGGGGATCGAACTCACGACTGCCTGCTTTCAAGGCAGGCGCTTATGCCGCTGAGCTAAACCCCCAGCCCCCAGATGTGAATATTTTTAAGGGATGATTTTCCTGGATAACTGGATTTTTTTTTTTTTTTTTTTTTTTTTTGGTGCCGGGGATCAAACTCAGGACCTTGTGCTTGCCAGGCAGGGGCTTATGCCACTGAGCTAAATCCCTGCCCCCCACATTTAAACAGGGTCTTGCTATGCAGTTCAGGCTGTCCTTGAACTCACTCTGTAGGTTGGCCTCAAACTCATAGTGATCCTCCTACCTCAGCCTCCCAAGTGGTGAGATTATAAACCATGTACCACCACCCCTGGCTTTGATTTTTGACTATAAGGAGAAAGATAACCGGATGCTTGATTTTTAGAATGCTAGTGAAAGGACTAAAGTCTGGCTGACAAGGCAGATTAAGATGTCTGATTCTTGTATTCCTCTCTGTCCTTCCCAGATTGAGTGTAAGGACAGGTCCAGTTCAAATGTCACCACCTTTCCTGAAGAATAAGCCCAAGCTGACATTTATTATTAACTTCTGAGTATCTCATAGCCAAATAGTGGTGAACTGTGTTATTTGTTTTTCTTTTAAAACAAAAGATGTTAATATACAAGTTGTTTTTTCTAAACTGAAACCTCAGCATGAAGATTTAATTGCAGTGCAGGCCCTTTGTGATAAAGAAGTGAGTTTTGGGTTACAGTTGGGCACTTATCTCTGAAATGTTCACCATCACTGTACAGCCAGTCACCAATACTTATGCTACAAGGTAGCATGCACCTCATTCTGTTTTCAGAATTTAGGGTTTCCCAGTTCAAGTTTCTTGAAGTCACAGACTCCATACATTGATAATATCTGGCATGTGCTGGGTCTGCAAAAATGCTGTTTAAAAGCAAGTAAAAACAATTAGCAGAAGAAGTGTAAAGTGTGGGACCTGCATGAGAAGCTGGAATGCCAGCAGCCCCAGGGAGAGGAGGCTCAGGGAAGACCAAAGCAGCTTTGGGAATGATGAATAAGGAGGAACGAGACCCAGCTTGCCCCTGCAGTCCCCAGTGGGCATGCCAGGTCAGTGGTGAATAAGCATGGGATGGGAAGTGGCTGAGGCTCTCTTCTGTTCAGGTCATACAGTGATTGCATTTGGACAGCCCACACCATTTCTTTAATCTCTCTTTCTCTCTCCTTTCAGGCAGGTTCTCACTACGCAATTCAGGTTGACCTTGAGCTCACTCTGTAGCCCAAGCTAGCCTCATATTTACAGCAATCCTCCTGCCTCAGCCTCCCCAGTAGTAGGGTTACAGGTGTGTACCACCACAGCTGGGTCCATTTCTTTACCAGTATTTATAATTAGAAACTGTGTGCCTGGCAAATAAGCTGCCATTCTGTTATTTACTTTGGCAAAACCAGGTGAAGAAATATTTTTTGTTTGTTTTTTGAGACAGGGTCTTACGATGTATTCCAAGCTGGACTTGAACTCATGGCAGTTTCCATGCCTTTGCCTCCTGTGTACTTGAATTACAAGCATGTACCACCATGCTCAACCAAACCATATTATTTATTTATTGGTTTTGGATTTTTTAAAAGATAGGGTCTTGCTATGTAGCTCTGGCTGGCCTTTTTTTTTTCTTCTTTTTTTTTGGTCTTTTTGAGACAGGGTCTCACTATGCAGTTTAGCCTGGCCTTGAGCTCACTTTGTAGCATAGGCTGGTCTTGAACTCACAGCAATCCTTCTGCCTCGGCCTACTGAGTGCTGGGATAACAGGTGTGTATCACCATACCACACCTTAATATCTGGCATGATATTAATTTTATTAGGAGTAACAACAGTATTTCTATTTTGTTTTATTTTTGGCTGTGCTAGGAATTGAACTCAGGGCTTCATACATGGCAGGCATGCATTCCACACAACAGTATATTGGGTACATTTTTGAGAAAGGAAAGTGAGTAAAACTATAGTTGAAAAAACTGGCCAGGAATAGAAAACTGGCATAGTGAGGTATTGTGGATGTTCATTACACTATCTCCTGTGCTTTTGTATGTTTGGAATTTGCTGTAATAAATAGAGCTGACAAATAAGATGATAGCACTTAAATAAAATTTCAAAACATAAATACTGAACGTGCACATATATACCCACAAAACATAAAATCTACATCCAAATTGGACATGGTGGGACACTCTTATAATCCCAGCACTTAGGAGGCTAAGGCAGAAGGACTGCTGTGAATTTGAGGCTACCCTGGGCTACAAAGCAAGACCCTGTCTCAAAAAACCAAAAACCAAAACCAAAATACGTATCTACATACACACACATCCCCATAAAAATCAAAGCAGGAACATGTCAATTTTATAACAATAGTTGATTCTGTAACAGAACATCAGAATGAGTTTCTGTGTGGGGTTACAAAGAGGCTTCAATTATATCTGAAACTTGCTTATTTCCTTAAAAATTCTGAAGAAAATGTAGCAAATTTTCAACAGTTATGAAAACTGGATGGTAGATGCCAGGCACAGTGGCATTTACCTGTAATTCCAGTCATTTGGGAGGCTAAGGCAGAAGAATTGCAGGTCTGATGTCAGTCTGGGCAATTTACTGAAACCCTGTTTCAAAATATAAATGAAAATGACTGGAAGTATAACTCAGTGGTAGAGCATTTGCTCAGTATGCCCAGTATCGCAAAAAAAAACCCACAACAGCAACAAAATGGCAACCAAACTACTTGGGAGTAGACATATGCTCCATGGGTACTTGTGATGTATATCTTTCAACTCTTCCATGTATTTTAAGTATCTGAAGCAGCACAACATCCCCAAAACCTCACTGGGCCCCTCCCACTCTCCAGCTTACTGATGCCCTTCTGAACACTGGACACTGGTCTGCATGGAGGCCCACATGGCACAAGGGCAGTGTTACAATGGACAAAAAGGGTGAGCCAGGTCAGCCCAGAATTGTATCTTTGAGATCTTAGCACAGACTTAAGCTTCAGAATAAACAGTCTGGGGCCTGGAGATCTAGCTCAGTGGCATAAGCACCTGCCTTGCAAGCAGGCGGTAGTGAGTTCGATCCCCGGTACCGGTTTAAAAAAAAACAAAAGTGTAAAAAAGAATAAACAGTCTGTTCTTTCTGTGGCTCTCTGTGATTATGCTTATCACTTTACTGCTGTTAAAGCACCGCCCCTTTTTCCTCATTACCTTCTGATGAACTGGTTTACTGTCAGAGTAGGATGAATTTTTTTGGTATTGGGGATCGAACTCAAGACTTTGCGCTTGCCAGGGAGGGGCTTACACTGCTGAGCCAAGTCCCCCGCCCCTCGAGGAAAGTAGTTTTAAGATAGAGAAGGCAGAAAGAGTGGCGGAACTTGCCTGCAATACCAGCACTCTGGGAGGATGAGGTAGGAAGATGGCAATTTAGTGAGACCCTGCCTCAAAATAAAAAAGGGCTGGGTCAGAGGGTCCTGGGTTCAATTCCCAGTCCTGCAAGATAAATAGGTAAAATAATAAAACCTAATATCATGTAAATGCTATGTAAATTGCTGTTGTACTGCACTGTTTAGGGGATAATGACAAGAAAAGTCTGTAGTTGTGTGGTATTGCAGTCTTCCTTTAAAAACAGTTTTGATTGGGCTGGAGATTTAGCTCAGCGGCATAAGCACCTGCCTTGCAGGTGTGTGGTCATGAGTTCAATCCCCCGTACCGATAAAAAGGAAAAAGACCAAAAAACAAAAAAAATCTTTTTTTTTTTTTTTTTTTTTTTTTGTCTTTTTCCTTTTTATCGGTACCAGGGATTGAACTCACAACTGCCTGCTTGCCAGGCAGGTGCTTATGCCGCTGAGCTAAATCCCCAGCCCCCCAAAAAACCAGTTTTGATCTGCTATTGGTTGAACAGTGCATGTAGAATTGTGGGTATGGAGGGTTGACTGTATTGTCAGGAAAGATAAAGGTCTAATTAAGAAGCATTAGCTTAAATAATACTAAAGGAAATGGCTGGAGATACAGCCCTGCCCAACAATCCAACAATAAAAGAAATCAGCAGGATGGTCAGGCTGCTCCTTCAGGACTGCTGATGACAACAGGCAATTAATGATTTGTATATTTTTTTTTCTTTCCTTTTTTTATTTTTATTTTTTTGAGACAGGGTCTTACTATGTAATATAGGTTGGCCCTGGTGATCCTCCTGTCTCAGCCTCTTGAGTGCTAGGATTGCAGGCATGCACCAACATACCCAACATTTTTTCTTTTGGCAATGAAGAATAATGTAGATAGAAAATGCAGAAACTGGGTGAAGACAGAAATAATGATCTCTGAAATCAACAAGAACCAAGGAATCCTATTCAACCTTCTATACTATTAAGTACGAAAAATACTTCATCCTTTTTTGACATAGGGACATCTTCATTACTGTGATATAGCCAATCCAATGAGAAAGCTTTACTGAGAACACTGGGGTGTGGGCCCTGGGTACTGCCTGTGTGTTCAGGGGCTAGGTAAAGGGGCACTATAAAGAATAAAGCAGGGGCGAAGAAGTAGCTCAGTGGTTCAAGCACTTGCCTGGTAAGCAGGAAGTTATGAGTTCGATCCCCAATACCAAAACCAACCAAACAAAGACAAAATAAAATAAAGGAATATCATCTTTTCACATAAGGATTTTACAGTCTAGAAGGGAGACAAAATCCTCTCAAAAATTAGGTGTGTTAGAATTAAGATGTGTCATGTACAATGTACTAACTCCACATGATTAATATAATCTTTAATCTTTATACACTGCAAACATGCACTATTAAAATTTTTTAAATTTATTTATTTTTGTTCTCCCTGTGCAGTTCAGGAAGGCCTTGAATTCACTTTGTAACCCAGAATGGTCTCAAACTCACAATGATCCTCCTGCCTTGGCCTCCTGAGTGTTGTAAAAATTATTTTACAAAGATGAATAAAACCTGCTTTATCCCTTAAAAAATGAAGTGTCTCACTGAGTTCAATCTGGTCTTTTACAACAAATAAGGCACCTTTCTTTCTTTTTTTTTGTTTTTTAACTTTTTATCGGTACTAGGGATGGAACTCACTATTGCCTGCTTGCAAGGCAGGTGCTTATGCTGCTGAGCTAAATCCCCAGCCCCTAAGGCACCTTTCTGTAGAAAACATGAACAACCTAGAACCAGATATCAGTTCCTCAACTCTTCTTCTTCTTCTTTTTTTTTTTTTCAGACTCTCACTATGTAATTCAGGCTGGCTTGGAACTCGCAGCAATCTTTCTGCCTCAGCCTTCTGAGTAGTGAGATTACAGACTGCACCACTGTGCCAGGTTGGTTCCTTCACTCCTAAATAGGGTGTTTTGAATAATCTTTCCATGCTTCACTTTGCTGCAAAGTGGGGAAAATAATTCCTCTCTCTCTCCTAGTGCTGAATGTTAAATAAGATGATGTAAAGAAAAGAACTTTATAATATCCCCACGTCCTAAGGACTAGATCACAGAGTGAACTCTGATGGCCTGGGGCAGAAGGAACGGGTGTTTTGCTCAATACATGGACCTAGAAGGGGTACAAAAAGGTGTATCAACCAATCTCCCCCAGACCAAACCTTTAAGGGAGTACAGAAACGGAGCACAATTGTCCCTCATTCACCCCATAAAAGCAATACTTAAATTGCACTTATCATTACTGGTACATCTGCGTAGGGGTGCTAAGCAAAGGGAAAGACTAGTAAAGCTGTGGATTTAGGGCACCTGGGTGTGACCTTGGGCTCACTTCACACGTTTCGGTTTTCTCTCTTGAGAAACGATAATCGAACTTTCTAACTTATCCACCCAGTTTTTGTGAATATCCAACTCGAAGGTAGGTGAAAGTGTCCTTGAAGTGGCACAGCGCCCGGCAAACACTGTAGATGTAATTTTTCCTGAAACGATCAGGCATCTGTTTGCTTTGTCGTTCCCCTTTTTTCTCCACTTTTATTAGCTATAATTTACAATCTCAGAAATAACTTAAATGCTACAGCGGTTTCTGGCCCCAACTCTCGGGCCCCACCCAGGCACACTACATCACGCCGTCTTTCCAACCTTCGGGTGCACCTTCACCTTCCTGCCCCGCCACCCTACTCCCTGAAGCCAATCCCCAAAGCCCTCATGACTGCCCCGCCCCCTAGACGGAGAAACACCACGCAGGCAGGAAGAACGACAGGCGTGCGAGCCAATACTTGCAGAGCGCTGCCTTCATCCGGCAAGGCCCAGAGACCAAGTTGTCACGCAGCCAGAGCAGCCAATGGAGTGATCAGAACCGGGAAGGGGGCGGGTGCTAGGTTCTAACAGAGCGGTTAAGGCTTCTCAAGCCAAGGGCCTAGGGACCCTGCTCGGCTTACAGCATTCCCCTTTACCCACCCACTAAGTTCTCCATCCCACTGTTGCTAGTCGGCCGTCCCACCTGAAGACTGTGGGTGGGGGAAGGAAGGAAGCGGCGGCACCGGAACCCGCCTAACAGGCTCGGCCAGTGACAAAGAATCGGCCGCCCATGGTAAAACCCAGGAAACCATCCTTTCTGAAAGGCCAGCACAAGTTCCTTAGAGATTGGAAAGACACAACTCACGTTATCGATCACAACAGGTTGGTTGGCGATCACATCGTAAGACTCCATGGCTGAGGAATTGCTCCTTCCGAGGAAGGTTCTGCTAGCCGGGTCCTCTACGAACGCCACTGACACGCATGCGCAGTCCAACCGCCAGCGCGGAGCGCCTAGGGAGCGGCCCTATTTGTCTCTGAGGAACTACCATCCCCAGCATGCTTAGTGCCAGAGCGGGCGCTCTAGCGTGCTCCTGGGCCCCGCCTTCAACAGGAGACTGGGCGAGGTATTTTGACGCACGGTTCTGTGTGGTTTGTAGTCCCATAGATTAAATCGCCAAGACAAATCGATGGTTGTGTTGCGAGCCAGAATGTCATCCCTTTGAAGGGGTTCGCAATGCGTACTGAAGCATGTAGCTTTGAGTGTAGTTGGCTTTGGATTGGTCAGTAACTGATGGGTGTTTGGATTTTATAAATCAGTTCTGCCACTGCCCCCGCTTCTCTTGGGACAATTTTTATTTGTGTCTATAAGACAGACATAAGTAAACATCTACCACTTCACTTTTTTTTTTTTTTTTTTTTGTCTTTCTGAGATACGGTCTTCCTATGCGGTTCAGCCTGGTCTTGAGCTCACTTTGTAGCCCAGGCTGCTCTCGAATTTGCCACTATCCTCCTGCCTCAACCTACTGGCTGGGACTACAGGCGTATGCCACCACGCCCGGTTTACCACTTCATATTTTAACAGGAAATTTTAACACACACACACACACACACACACACACATATTCCTAAAACGAAGAAAAGTTATTTGCATAAATTTAGCTTTAAGGAAAAAAACCGTGTACATTGTCATTACTTTTCCCATTTCTTTCCTGGATAAGTATAAACTTTGTAACAAGCAAACACTGAAGATTGGCATTTGGAACTACCACTGTGGGTCATTAAAACATCAACTAAGTGTTTAAGAACTGCTCTAATATCCCTTTACTGTTCATGAAGATCTAGGATTGATTTTGATGAGAAAAATAAAGGTGAAGAAAAAGGGGACTATTATTTTCTGTCCAACCTCCTTTCAAATTAATTGCAGGGACTGTCAACAGCACTAGGAATTTTGTATTCAGATTTATGATCTCTAATGTCAAAAGAAGGAATGATCAATATGTTGTCCGATTTGTGCTTAAATCGTTGTCAACAACGTGTCAGCGAAAGTGTCAAGACCTTTGTGGCGGCTTTCTAGCACCCCAGGGGCAGCGCCTCATCTCCAGTCACACCCGGTTCCTCCTAACGCCAGGGGGAGACCAAAGGCCTTGGGCTACTCTATACGGGCAAGAGGGAGGTGGGGCTATTGTCGAGTCACGCCTCTCCACCTATGACTGGCAAATATGTTAGCCAATGGGTGCTGGAACAGGGTGGGCCGGCGCACCGCTTCCTCGCGCTCCCCGCTGTCCCGAGGCGCCCCTCTGGCAGACTTCGCGGCGGCCACTGCCTCGGCTAACAGCCCGCGTGCGCAAGCGCGGAGCTGTTCCTCGCTGCAGCCCCCCCCCCCACTGCCCCCGGGAATCGCACCCGCCGAGTCCACCTACTGGACTGTCTGGGCGTCCCTTACTCTGCGCTTTAGGCCCCCCAGCGCTCCTCGCGCCCCCATGGCGGAGCTGCGGCCTAGCGGCGCCCCTGGCCCCACCGCGCCCCCGGCCCCCGGCCCCGCTGCTCCGCCTGCCTTCGCCTCGCTCTTTCCCCCGGGACTGCACGCCATCTACGGGGAGTGCCGCCGCCTTTACCCCGACCAGCCTAACCCGCTCCAGGTGACCGCTATCGTCAAGTACTGGTGAGTCTGGGCCGCCAGGAGGGTGGGATCTCCGGGACAGGGGCAGCGCGGGGTGAGAGCTGTTGGAAAGAGGACTCCTGCGGGGAAGGAGTAGGGCTGAAGTTGGTGATGGGGACAAAGGGGTTAACGGGGCCCGTGGGTAGTGAAGGGTTAACCGGGTTTGGGAGAACGGGGGCGGGGGGGCGGAGTGGAGCCACGGCGTGAGAGGGAGCCGTAAAACGTGGTGAAAAGAGGGGGCGCCTGTAGGGGGTCATTAGTGGACCAGGGGAAGCCGAGGTGGGCGGCAAGGCGGGGCATGGGAGGGCTTCGGAGGAGCGAGGCCAGGGAAGCTGCGACGGCACGAGACTGCACAAGCTCAGGCGGGCCCTGGGGCCTTGGGCTGTCCTGTGGGTTAGGAGGGGAGCAAGAGGAGGGTGCTGTGCTTGTGATGAGGAGGGCTCCTTTGATACCTTCCCCAGGGAGCTCAGAAGTGTGTCCCTGTAAAGCTTTTGCTTTTGAAGTTTAACCTACCAACTCTCCTTGATAAACTTTTTGCCTGCTCTGCACAGTTCTGTCTCTTCTCTCTTCTCTTCCCTCTGTCTCTGTCTCTCTGTCTCTCTGTCTCTCTGTCTCTCTGTCTCTCTCTCTCTCTCTCTCTCTCTCTGTTTCCTTCTGGCTTTGCATCTGCTTTACTTTAGGACGTGAGTCAAGAACATGGCAGGGAGAGCCTTGGTTTGGTTCAGTATTAAGGGGTATAAGAATTTCCTACTTTCAGTGGCAAGTAGTAAATGATGGAGACCTGGGCCCTGGGCAGGGAGAAAAGTGCAGTGAGACATTAAGAGGAACTTTTTGTTTCTAGCTTCAGAATTTAGACAGCGTTTTGTTTGGGAAGCCCAGGGTAACCCCCAAGTTGCTGTTAAAGATTAGTTTGCAGATGGGCTGCCCTTTGCAGATGGGGAGGAATGGACTTTTCTAGTTTCCCATTCATGTTTGGAACCTGTTTCTTCCTTCACCCTTAAGGTAAAACAGGTGTTGTAGGGGCTTTGGAAAACAGCCTGTTTATGGTCTTTTCATACCAAAATTGAATGAAGAGTTGTTCGAATCTGTCCAGGACTACTTTCATGAAGGTATTGTTATTAAATCAATTTAGGAGCCTGAAAGACTGAGAGGCTGATTGGGGAGCTGACAAAGGGTGGTGCTGAAGGGAGAAGTGGATGACTTTCTTGATTATGGTTTTCAAAACTGAGTCTTCTCTGTGACAGCCTCTTACTGACAGGTTGTGGTGGCTTGAGGCCACCTCCTTGTGTCAGTGGGAGGATACAAAGTAGGCTGGCAGCACAAAAGGCCTGGGGACCAGCTAGTAGTTCCCCTACAGAGTCCAGAGGGAGCAGCTTCCTCTGTCTGAGAAGCCAGGAGGAGGTATGGCCTGCAATGCAGTCTTCATTGGCAGGTAAACTGTTCTTTGTATAAAGTTTTTATTTTTTTGAGACAGCATCTTGCTATGTAGTCCTGGCTGGCCTTGAACGCACTGTGTTGCCCAGGCTGGCCTTGTGGTGATCCTCCTATGTCAGCCTCCTGAGTGCTGGGATTACAGGCATGCGTCACCACTCCTGGCTGGTACAAAGGAGTTTTTGAAGAGCACTTTTAAAAGTGGAAGGCAGCTGTGTCTAACTTAATCACTTGCTCTAATAGTACCTGTGGATTTAACCATGTAGCTGTGAATTTGATTCTTGAAAAAGTTGGGCTATCCCTGCTATGTTGTTTGTTCAGGTATCATTTGAGTGTGGTAAGCCCTTGCACAGAAGTGGGCAACTGTTTTTTTGTCACCCAGGAGAGGGTTGTAAGAGGAATCCAAACATTATGCAAAGAGCTAAAGATGGTCACTGTAATAATTTTTATCATTGTCACTGCAAGCTTGTTAGCCAGGTGATTTCTTCCAAGATAGCCAGCATGCAGTGACAAGGAGAATTATATAGTACTCTGTGAAATTAGCAATGCTGCCTAGGCATAGAACATAGAACTGAGGGAACACCTCAGTGACTGGTTATTTCTAAGATATGGAGGGTTTGCAGAATTAAGACACTTAAATTCATTCATCCCACCACATTTGAGTTCTCACCAGCTTCTTTAATTTTCTTATCAGGACGAGTGGCCCAGGCTGCCTGGGTTTGGCTGTGGCCTGAGGTACCTTGGGATTGTGTTTATTTGTGGAGGGCTGGCTTTTTGGCTTATGGTCCCTGGCTAGCAGAGACATTTTGACTGAAAGCCGAAACTTTAATGAGCCAGAACAAATTAGAGATGCAGAACCTGTATTCTCTGTGCATCCAGAACCTGCCCTGTGAAGAGAGGTCACGTGTCCAAGGAATTATGGTGAGGTCTGCTCTGGCCCTCGGATAATAATATCTTTTTCTAAGTGTAAAATATGATCATTTGCCACACTCATCTGGGAGTGAGCAGTAGAGCAAAACACTCTTGAGCTTGGGAACATTCCCTGACTCTTGGTAAGTCCTCTCCTCCTGGAAGACGTGGTCAGAAGGACTGCAGTGAATACATGGCAGGTGGAATAGGGAATGGTGAACAGCATTTTGCTGCTTGTTGAATGGACCTGGACTGTAGGGTGGGCAGGATGGGAATTTGCAGCAGGACACTGGAGCAGATAGGAAGCCTGTAGTCCTATCTGGCCTGCAGATCTGCAGCTATTATGGCTTCTTCCAGGAATCTTTCCCCCTTTTCTTTCCTCCTTCCCTCAACACACTTCTCTAAATTCAGCTGGTTGTGGAATTAGATGATTTGGTGAATCAGAGTTAAGGGCAGGGACATGGGAATTTGTCCCTTTCCCTAACTTATTTGAGAGTCTAAGCTATTTGTAGCAACTTTCTTACAAATTGTATAAATAGCTTAGCATTTCCCAGCAGAGAATAAGGATTTCTACAAAAAAACCCAATAATATTCTAGCAAAGAAGAAGAAACCAGGCCTATTGGTTAGGTGGTGGTTTTGTGTATGTGTGTGTGTCGTTGTGGTGTTAGGGATTGAACCCAGGACCTTGCACATGCTAGGCAAGTACTGTACCACAGAGCTACATCCCCAGACAGAACTTACTGGTTTTTAAAATTTATTTATTTTTGTTTTTTTACAACAAAGTCTTTCCAGGTAGCTCAGGCTGATCTCAAACTTGTGGCAATTCTCCTGTCTCAGCCTTCAGAGTGCTGGGACTACAGGTGTGTGTGCCACTATGCCCAGTGACCTACTGGTTTTAATAGTGTTTAAATTGCATATACTGGTACATTTGCTGGGGTCTCCCTTAGTGTGTTTTGTTTGGTTGTTCACTTCCCTTAGCGAGCTATCTACTAGCAGAGTGCGCTGCATTAGTCTTGGGCAGAGTTGCGTGCCCCCCACCTCATTGAACCTTGGGCTTTGGGCAAAGTGTCCTATCACTGAGCCACATTTAAGTGTACCAGGTTCCCTGTCCATTTGAAGAAAAGCAGGATTTTTTTTTTTTTTTTTTTTTTTTTTTTTGAGAGTATTAGAATGTGGTCCTCGGCAGCTCCAAGTCATTTAATGTCCCAGCTTTTCCTTTGAAGCAGCAGTCTCTGGGGTCTTCTTCTGGTAGGACACTGTCACAGGGCCAGCTTGAGTTCTGCTGCACTTCTCTGGCACAGCTGAGCTAGCCTGCATATGGCCTTTGCCCCTTGCGATGATGAAAGGTCAGCTTTGATCTGTGGGATGCAGGCAGGGTCTTCACTGACTGCAGACTTTGAGTTTGCTTAGAACAAACTGTAGTTAACACAGGGATCAAGTCTTTTCAGGAATTAGATGTTGAAGAGGCCTGAACAGAGTCTCTGCTTCCAGGAACAGTGCCCCCTGGGATGCACTAGATGGTTCAGCACAGGCCATGCAGGTTTACAGGCACGTAGAAAAGTTAATCCCCTGCCAGTCCCACTTGGAATCAGTGATTTGGAACAGAAGAAAGCACTGTGGACAGCCATGAAGTCTACTTTGTTTCTAAAAGAGGCCTTGCCAGTAGGTGCTTTCAGTGCATTTGGAATTGGGTGTTCTCTGCTGGTTGCTTCCCTGCGTCTCATCTCCCAGAGATGTAGCCTCCCTTAGCTATCTTTTGCCTTTTGCCTAGGGCAAGGCCTACAGACTTGTAAAGTAGAGCTCCTTGTCTGTGTCTCCTACTGAGGCGCCTGTATTTCATCTTTTTCAGGTTGGGCGGCCCAGACCCTTTGGACTATGTTAGCATGTACAGGAACGTGGGGAGCCCTTCTGTCAATATTCCTGAGCACTGGCACTATATCAGCTTTGGCCTGAGCGACCTCTATGGGGACAGCCGAGTCCACGAGTGAGTATGTCTCACCTTTCTACCCTCTTCATGCCCATTCGTAGCCTTGAGCCTTATTTCTGAGCTTTTCCGGAGCAGGCACAATAATGTCAGTCCTGCGAGGCTGATACTTGTCAGGTGGACCCTCTGGGTTTCTGCTTTCTGTTGGTATCTACTTGTACCAAATGCTCCAGGTGAGTACTTGAGCATTGCTCCTCTCTTACAGGAAAGTGTTGATGATGGACAAGAGTTCCAGAACCAGCCGTTTTTCCTAAGCTTGCTCTGGAGTTTGGGCTAGAGGAAAGACAGTGTGACCCAGAACTTGGGCTAATGCATCCATTTTCTTCTACTTTATGAGATATTTTATTTTTATTATTTTTTCAAAGAGAAATCATTTTTAATTATGAAATATCTTAATTTATTTATTTGGTACTGGGGATCAAACTCACAACCTTGTACCTGCCAGGTAGGCGTTTAAACTACCTAGCTAAATCCTCAGCCCTAATTTTGAAATGTTTTAAACAAAGCAAAATTGAACACATTTCACCTGGGTGTGGTGGCACACGCCTATAATCACAGTACTTAGGCTGAGGCAGGAGGATTACCACAAATTTGAGGCCAGCCTAGGCTACATATGAGTTCAGGGTCAACCTGAACTACATAGCAAGATCCCATCTCAAAAGAAGAAAGCATTTACAACACTCATTCCCATGGCCTATATTCTGTTGTTCACTTCTTTTTTTTTGTATATATATATATATATATTTTTTTTTTTTTTTTTTTTTTGTCTTTTTCCTTTTTATTGGTACTGGGGATCAAACTCATGACTGCCTGCTTTCAAGGCAGGCGCTTATGCCGCTAAGCTAAACCCCCAGCCCCTGTTGTTCACTTCTTACTGAACTTGCTTTTTCTTTTTTTTTTTTCTGTACTAGGAATTAAACCCAGGGCCTTTGCATTATACTACATCCCTCGCCCCATTTTGATTTTGTGTTTTGAGACAGGGACTTGCTATATCACTAAGTTGCCAGGCTGAGCTTACACTTGAGATCCTACTGTCTTAGACTAGAGTGCTGGAATTAAGGTATGCACCCCCACACCTGATAAAGAAGATGTTTTTGTTTTTCTAGAGCTGATCATGCTACCATACTGGCCAAATTTAATTTCTACAGCATTGTAAAACTGGTAAGTACAAATATGTGGTCCGCTATATACCTGAGGAAATTGAGACTGCAGAGGTCCTGTACCTTGCTTAATGTAACTGCTTAGAAGTGATGGAGCCAGAATTTCAGTGTAGGCAGTCTGGTTGCAGTGTCCATACTCCTTTAAGGATTGTCTTATTCCTTTTTTGGGGGGTACAGGAAATCAAACTCTACACCTCGTACTTGCCGGTCAGGCACTGTGTCCAAGTCCTCTTAAACAGCTGTGTCATGTATTTGAATTTGAAAAAACTTTTTTTTTTTTTTTTTGGTACCAGGAATCAAATTTAGGATCTCATGCCTGCCAAGCAGGCGTTGTGCTGCTGAGCTATATCCCTGGCCATAAAAATCCATTTTTTCACATTTTTCTTTTTTTGTTATTGATAACTGAACTTAGAGCCTCACATATTGTAGGCAAGTGCTTTACCACTGACCTGTACCTCCAGCCCTTTTTTATTTTTTAGGAATAGAATCTTACTCAGTTGCCCAGGCTGGCTTAGAACTTGCAATCCTCCTTCCTCAGCCTCTCCTGAGTAGTTGTAATTACAGATGTATGCCTCCACCCAGCTTGCATTTATATAGTACTCTTGAGGGAGGTATTCGTTTCTTTGATGTAAATATAGTATTTTTTTCTTCATTAGCATAGTTAAGAGCTGATTTCATTTCTATTTGTGAAGAAATAGTCTAGTTCTAGTCTTCTGTTTTTGATTTCCTGTCTCTTATACACCATCTTTTTGGGGGGGCACAAGGTCTCACTATGTAGTTCCAACTGGCTTTGAGCTTACTAAGTAGCCCAGACTGGTTTTAAACTCACAGCAACCCACTTGCCTCAGTCTCCTAAGTGCTGGGTTGTACCATCTTTTTTGTATTGTGGTGGTGGCTACTTGGTTAGGTTGAAAGAGTAGGAGAGTTCTTCCTTTCCTGCCTCAACCGGCAGATTCTGGAGATGATGAAAGGATGAAAAAGTTGATAATAGCCTTTTCCCTTGTTCTAGTTCTTTTTTTTTTTTTTTTTTTTTTGTACCGGAATCAAGCTCACTACTATGTGCTTGTAAGGCAGGCGCTTATGCTGCTGAGCTAAATCTGTGGCCCCTTGTTCTAGTTCTGTCTTCCGTGTTTCTGTGTTCAGTGCACTGTAGTATTACCAGGTTCTCTTGTTATCACCATCCTAGTGATGATGGGATAGTCTCCTGAGGAGTTAAATCTGGGCTGCAAAAGGGCTGGAACTGAATTGGGGTGTCTGAGCTCTTAATTGTTGGACTATACCATTCCCTGAGGCAGGCCTGACCCAACTTCCTTTCCTCTCCTGCAATGCTTAGAGGCTGAAAACTCATCTCTCACTGCATGTTTTTGAGAGCAGTATCTGGATCTGCCTTTATAGCTAAGAAACAGATCTAGTGCAGTGTCAGCAGAAGGCTTTGGGAACAGGGACTTAATCTCGCCTGAATGGGGAGCCTGCATTATAGTATTAATAATGGAGGTAGAATAGCAAACAGATGTGGGAGTCAGGGACCATGCAGGACTTTAATTTGTATTTTTAATAGGAACCTGCAGAGGATATTTAAGAGTAGCTACCCTGTACCTTTTTGTTGGCAGATTTATTCTAAGTAAAATAATACTATTTCCTGTGTGGCTCAAGGAGTTTAAGGATTTCTCCTGTCTACCTACTTAGCAGGTTCAGGCCCCAAATAGAATGATGAGTGTAACAGAGAGAGCTCTATTTTAGTGGGAGCATCCTTTGAATTTCAAATAGGGCCTTTCTTACTGTTTTTCCTAACACTGTCCCCTTACATGGGTACCATTTTCATATGATGAAGCACTTTTATAGTGATATGTCTTTTATGATGAGATGAGACCTCATTTAGTGAGATGGATCCTTATCTTTGAGCCTAAGATTTTTCTGGCATTATTATATCCTATGACTAGAAGGATAGGAAAGGAATATTCTCAGGTATCTACCCAGTTCTGCTTTATGTAACAGAAGCCAAAAGTGCCTTTATAATTGGTCTCATACCAGGGAGACTGAATTCTTGATTTTGGTAAATTTGTAGAATAAAGGTCCGCTTTTCCAGACATTTCATGTGGTAAAATCTCTTAAGATGAGTTAATTGGTTCTCATTTAACTGAGTACTCAAAGTCAGCGTCAGAAAGGTGAGTGTTCTGCCATCCAGTGTAGGTGCTGAACGGCACAAGATTGTAATTGCAGCAAATGAATCTGGCAACGTTTTTCTTCATTGTCTCATTTTTCATTTAATAGGAGTTAAATTGCTTTTATTTTTTGTACCAGAAAATCGTGCTTGCCAGGCAGGTGCTGTGCCACTGGGCTATGTCTCTAGCCCCGTTACTTAATTTCTTTCAGCATGTATTCATCAAGCACCTATTTACTTACTTATTTATTTTGGGGGCATGGGTTTGCTGTGTAGCTCAGATTGGCCTTGAACTCTGGATAATCCTTTTGCCTCAGCTTCCTGAGTACTGGGATTACAGGTGTGCAGCACTGTGCCTAGCTAGGCACCAATTTTACATCAGAAAGAACATCAGAGCAGATGTTTTGGGGATGAAATGGCAGGACCCAATTCCTGTCTCAAAGCGCTCGTATTCTAGAGGGCAGGTAAATACTATGTGTGTGGGTATAGGACATGACGGGGAGCACAGTGGAGGGGTGACTTTCATTCAGGACGCTACATTGGGAGAGGCCCAGGGAGGAGAGGAAGCTGGAAAGGTACTTTGTAGGCAGAGCCTGGCGCACGACCCATAGCCTGACGTTGCGGGCTGCTGACACTCTTGCTGGGCTGAAAAATCTAGCTATTTCCCAAACTTCTAGTACCATAGCCATGTTTATGCCCCCTTGAATTTATTCTCTCCATTTTAAAGTGGTATAAATATATTTACTTTCCTTTCTTTCTTTCTTTCTTTCTTTCTTTCTTTCTTTCTTTCTTTTGATGCTAAGGAACAAATGTACTACCTTCATGCTGAGCTGCATTGCCAGCTTTTTATTTTTTATTTTGGGACGGGATGTTGCTAAATCACTACATTGCCTAGGCCAGGCTCAAACTTGTAACCTTTCTGCCTCAGAGAGCCGGGATTACAGGCCTGTGTCACCACTCCTGGCTCATTAAGTATATTTTTAAAAGTTGAATTGCTGGGGCCAGGGATTTAGCTCAGCAGCCTGGTAAACTCAGGAGTTCGGATCCCTGGTACCAAAACAAAACAAAAAGTTGAATTGCTATCATGTGGGAAAAATCAGCATCATTTGCCATTATTTAAGATAATCACAGAAATAACTACAGTACAAATAACACAATATTATAAAATCCTCTGTCAATTCTGTGGCCTATCACAAAAACTTCTAAGCCCAATTTCCTTGTCACCCCTCAATCTCTCTGTTTGTACAAGAGATTATCAATTATGAGAGAGATGTTAAAAGATTTAACATCAAGTAGCACTTCCCCTTCACGTGACCAGAAAAGATGAAAGAGAATTGAAGAGGGAATTTTTTATAATATGATTTAATGATTCAATATTATCATTGTCAGACAAATTCCAACTTAGGAAACAGTGACCTGCTCTGTCTTTTACACTTGATCTTAGAAGGCCCGAAGAGATGCATTGGCTGCCTTAATTGTGTAGTCGAGGAGATAAAGCTGCTTGCCAGAGGCAAGGGAAGGTAATGAGAGCAGCAGGTGGAAGGAGGATCTCCTGACACACTCACTGTTCTGTGCTATCCTTTGGGACTGAAAAGAACAGGTGAGCACTGGTTTTCTTCAAGATAAAATATGCAGGATTTTTCGCATGTTACTGTCATTAAGTTAGTGCTGTTCTTGTT